CTAGTTATTTATCATTACAAAAAGCTCTGTGCGGAGGCTGCTGTTCTGTAGCCCACTCACAACCAACCTTTCTTGCAGAATAACTAATGAAGAGAGAACTCCCCTGTCATGATATACCATGTATTATGATCCCCAGGGCCCTTCTCTTGTGGAGCAAGTGTCCTCCTCTGGGATAAGATGTCACTGAGATCAAGGGAAGTTTTGGGTGTCTTGCAAGACATCAGCTAAGGAATGATAGCTGCTTGTAAAGGAGTGGTTAGAATACAGTGGTTGCTGCAGACAAGGCAACACATCAAATCTCAGTTAAAATTATATATTGTCCTAAATTTATTTTTTAAAAATCCTGGATTATGTAATGTGTAAACGCAATTCTCTAAATGTTCAACAAAATACTAGCATTTCATGACTTCAGATTTGTGTTGCAGACCATTCACAAGCAGTCTGTCTGTAAAGTACTCTGAAGTGTTTTTGTTGCATTGTGAGATTATCAGAGAAGTGGTGTGATGGTCAGGAGCCCCAGCATTCAAAACCCTCAAGTGAAAGAATGAGATTGGAAATAATCTTGTGAATAATCTATTTGCAAAGATTTTATTTCTATTGAATATTTTTATTTTTAAATTTTTTTTAAATTCAAGATCCTTACCCTCTACTGATGGTGCTGCTTTGGGGATTAGTTGTCAAAGGCAGACTGGCCTCACAACTCAATACTCTGAAAGCAGGTGGGAGTGGCATTTGACAGGAATTGATAAACAGGAGAAGGAGGGGGAAAGGGTGTGAGGAAAGACCAGGAGGCAAAGGAAAATGTCTGGGCTCTTTGTCATGTAGGTGTCCCTGAGAGAGATGTCGGGTAGATGGGCAGGCATAGGAGGATGTGGAGAAAATGTCTCTGGGCTGGAGAAAGAACAGGATAAAGGCAGGAACAGGATAAAAGCAGCAAACACAGTATCTCAGCCCCAGTACTGAGCCCAGGACTTGGTTGCCCTGCACATAAATACCTCTGAGCCCCCTTGGCTGCAGGTGTGTGCCACCCCTGCGGTGTCTCTTCCCCGCAGGAGGACGGCGATGCAGCAGCTGCGGTCAGGGCAGCAGCAGTGCCTGTGCTGAGTGCTGCTGCTGGCCCTCCTGGGGCCATGGCAGCTCACACCAGGAGAAAACACTGACATTGCAAAACATGGTCAGCTGTGAAAGATAACCAGCATGAAGGTTTCTGATAAAGCAGTCAGACTATTTATTTTTTCCCATGAGATGGCTTATTTTGACTCCTGTGGCAGTGGCCACAGCCTAGAGGACCTTGCCTTCCTGCTTGCAGAAATTGGGGAATTCAGACCTCTGAGTGATGCTATAAGTGGGTTGCTGGGGGGACCAGAAATTTAAAGATTTTGAGTGGGGCTGGGAAGAAAGACAGGCCCACAATCCAAGTCTTAGTGATATCTCAGCACTTGATAGTGAAACCAGGGGATGAAAGAGGGGAGTTTGAATGAAATGCTGAGTGAAGAAATCCCAGCAGTGTCTGCTGCACTTTGAAGGCATTTAAGGTGTCAGGAAGAGAGTCCAAAACATAATACAGAGAATGCTGCCCTGGAGTACTTGGATTATAGCCCTGTCTGTGCTACAGTGCTGCTCAGTGACTTTATTTATTTATTTATTAATTATTTTTGACACAGTGGCAGCTAATTGTTCATTCTTTGTTTTCTGGCTCTGATTCCGTATTTTGTTCTGTTCATACTCTTATTTGCATTATTCTAGCGTTTGATTCTTCCTTGGCTGTGGGTTGAGTGAGGGAGCAGGGAGGGAAAGAAGAGAGCATCTTTTCCTCTTCTCTAAGGCAGCTTGCTGTCCCTGGCACGTTGCCTGGTGTGCTGAGGCACTGGAGACGTGACTCTCTCCTGCTCCCTCATGAGCCCTCTCTGCTCAGCTGGAAAATAAAATGTGCTCAGCCCCAGAGCTTTCCATGAGCCAGCTGTGCCACCTGGGTCTGGCTGCCGTGGGGTGGAGGGTGCTCAGGTAATGGAAGGCAAAATCAAGTCCCTGGTCAAATTCTTCTCACTTCAGTTTTACAGATGGTTCATAAAGCACTTCCCATCAGTGTTTTATGGTTCTCCACCACCAATCTGTTGTTTATGCATGTCAAACGCCTTGGTGGCTGGATGCCTGGAAAATAAAATAATTGTTCTGTAGCAGTTTGTTCTGTTTTATTAACGATTAAAGTATTCATCAGTGTAATTCCCCATTAAATTTGCTCTTGCTCCAAACCTCCAGGGGCCCTTCTTAAATTTGCCAAGTGTGAGACATTCATTTTGCTGAAATATTTTCTGTCAATGACACTGTTATTATCAACAACGTGGGTAGCTATATCTACCTAACACTTTCCATTTATGACCCCATGTCCTTATTAATGTAGATATTTATAAGTACTGACATGGCACCGGGGTTTGGAAACATTTACAGGCTCATAGTTTTACTGAAAAGAAGTCAATTGGTATAAATTGACCCAAAACCATGGACTTCAGTGGATCTATCTCAAATTCCAGCTACTGAACATTTAGTATGTAGTAATCTTGTTGAAAATCAGTGGATCTGTGGATGATACAGGGCTCTAACCACTTGTTTCAACACTTGCATTACTGCTGCTAAAAGGGACTAGAGGTAAAGATGTTAATTCTGAATGGTTACTGTGCTGAGGTGGAGGTAAAACTTTAACTAACTATAAATATGATGTCTTGAGCTACTCTCATCAACACAGTGAATAGAAATTATTTTTCATTTTTCAGAGGGTGAGAAGAGAATAATTAAGTCTTTGTGAAAGACAACTATTAGGAAGAGAAAGTAGGACATTAGGCTTTATGTGGACCTACAAAATGAGCCTACATAATTTTCTCATCTCACCTCCAGGGAAAAAAAAAAAGATATACCTGCCTTATATCAGTGGAGATAGATTTTTTTTTTCCTTGTGAATCTTGAAAGCTGCAACTGGGTGTATTTGCTTTCTCATAAATTTGATATTAAAATAACAAGGGGTCTTCCTGACCATGTGTGTAGTCAAACCCCCAAATTACTTGCATTTTTGGGGAGTAGAAAGGGCTGAAGAAGAAAGGAAACCCAGCCAGTGTGCAGTCCACACCTCACAGTCAGTAAAATCCAAGGGGTGAATAGACCATGCCTACTTCAATGAATGCAAACAAATTACATATTTACAAAGGCTGCATTTGCATAAAGGCATGTTTGAAAAGAGCTTAAAACATCTAAGCCATATTTAGAAGATGACTGAAAACTACGGAGTTTGATATAGCAATGTTTCAGGAAAGAGACCGAGGCACTGTTTTGTTAATGCTGGGGATTAGCAACTTAATTAGCTCAATCTTTAATGCAGGAAATTACCTAGCGAAAATGAGACTAGTTAACATTTGCAAGGACTTAAAATATTTAAATCAGGAAAGGACAGATTTTCAATGACACTTACACACCTACTAGATAAACATTTTTCTCTAGGTGAAAATTTTACTTTTTTAATACTTCTGCTATTTGATCCCAAAGGTTAAATGTGAATTTATTTCCTATGGAGATGTTGAGACTGGGGACTTCATCTCACTGCCACATAAATGTGATCTCTACTTTCCTGATACTATCATCTTGTTTGCTGAAGACTGTGTCAAGATGAAAATAGTGTAACTTTTTCTAGGTAGCCCACCTGTAGGCAACAGCAGTGATGTTGAATGTGATCTTAGATCAGGGTGAGACTATTTTGATTTCAGTTACCTAAATATCATCTTTTTGTCACAGTGATTTTATGGCTAGACCACCAGTCAGGTGGTCTCTGAAACTTCACATGGTGAAGAAATAGACTGAAAGACCTTGAATCAGTTGTATGTGATAAGAACCACAAAATTATCTTTGGAGAGAGAATTTAGTCAAGTATTTCTCTGTAGAAATCACATACATTTGTGGGAGAGCACTGTTTCAAGGTGATACTTTTAAACAGGTGACCTGTGGGTCCACTGACATAATGAAAAAATTATTGTCATTATAATGTGTCAATGTTTCTGTCCCTTCAAATCAGACTTGTTACTGCCCTTCATAATAAATGGGCGCAGAGAGGCTTTTTTTTTGCATTCTTTGTTTCAGAGTAGGGTTTTTTTGTGCTGAATGTAATCAGAAATAAAAATGTACTTTAAAAATATTATTTAAAACAAAGTCCTAATATTTATACTGTTTATCAAAGCTAGTTGTTTGTAATTAGGCCATCTCAATATCTTCGTTAGCTAAAAATGGTTTCTTCTCATGCAAAAAAAAGAAAAAAAACCCCAGAAGAGACAGTCTTGAAATAGATTTCAATCAAATGTTAAAAGGGTAAATCAACTAAAAAAAAAAAGGAAGAAAGAAAGAAACATTAAAAGTATTCCCATTTAAGTAAAGTTATGCTTTATCTGGGACAATAACAACTGAAAAATTAAAAGAGAAATATATTTTGTATGATTATGTTCCTTTAGGCTTACTTTCTTCTATCTGTACTCCTTTAATGCAATGTGATTTTTTTTTACTGAATAATGTTTTTTTCCTTCTTTTAGTGGCTGAGCAGTAAGAATGAAGGCTTGGAAATGGGACTCATTCCAACAGAACAGAAGCACTCTGTTAAAACCCCATGGTTGTTGTTTCCTCTTTTTTTTTTGCTTTTCCAAGATAAAACTTAAAACCATATGTCCCATGACCAGACATTTCAGCTTTTGGATTATTTGGTTCAGTATTGTGCACAAAACATTCACTGGTGCGTTATTGGAGAGCATCTTACTAACCTGGTGTTGTCTTCTCTGCCTCTGCTCTGCTCAGCCAGGGCAGGCTGTGAGTGCCTGCTTTGTTCACATATTTTGTCTCCACAGCTCAAAGGGGAGATGAGCCCAACCTTTGAGGTGTTAAGATTTGGTCTTGATCCTTTGAACTCCAAGTATGGGGCTTTAGAGGAAACCTGTAGATGTCTAACATATTTTTTTCCCTTCTAATTTTAGACTTACTTTAACCTTGTCCTGTCCCATGGACTTGAAGAATTTTCCTATGGATGTACAGACATGTACAATGCAGCTTGAGAGCTGTGAGTGACCAATTGCCATATTTATCAAATAACAAGTTTTTACCCTAACATTCCGTAATTAGATTGTATTTACATCACCACATTTGTGTGGTGAGACTCAGTATTCCTGTTTTGTAAGGGAATTATGTTTATCATCATAATGTGAGGGTTGCCTGTTTCTGTGCTGCTCCTGCTCCCTTATCTTTCTCCCTCCTGGGTCACATCACCTTACCCATCAGAGTTGCATCACTTCCAGGGGTAAATACAGCAATTCTCCCTGTATTCTCCACCCTGTGTGGGAGAAATTACTAGATCTCAGAAAAGTGAGAACAATTATTACGTAGCCAGAGATTTACTACGTCCAACAGAGTTAGGCTCACTTTTGGGCAATGGAAGTGAAATACCCAACGAAGCAGAATTCCTGTTAGTGATAGCTAAGCTAGTGTGCTAAACCCTTATTTATTTTTTTTTCCTGTTGTTTTTGTTTGTTTGTTTTTAAATTTAGGGGAGAAAGGATTTAGCTGTATGGCTATGAACTGTGGGCTGCCACCTGCCTTTGTGCCCAGAGAATCTTAGACTGGTTTGTGCCAGCAAAGTTATGTTTTGATGGCAAACCAGGGCAGTACTTCAGAATACAACAGTGTTTACTCTTGCTTTTAATAGAGTAATGATGCAGTTATAGCAACTGAAAACCAGGAGGAATTGTGCTGTTAATTAAACAGTTTGAAAATGTAACTGAGATAACACATGTTGCAATAAAAGACATGCTTCTCAGACATTTGCTCTTTTCTGGTCAGTTGCCATCTAATAAACTCTGATTCCTTTATTACAGTTGGCTACACCATGAATGATCTAATATTTGAGTGGCTAAGTGATGGACCTGTGCAAGTTGCAGAGGGTTTGACCTTGCCACAGTTTATTTTAAAAGAAGATAAAGAACTTGGTTATTGCACAAAACATTACAACACTGGTGAGCATTATTCTATTTTTTTTTATCAGTTGTTCCAATGGTATCTATTGTCAATTTGTAATGGAAAAATATGGGTAAAATTAAAAAAAAAAAAAAGAAGAAATTAACATTTGATTCAGTCACACTTATTTTTAAATCTGAATAGAAAGAAATTTTCTCTCTGTTATTATTCTGAAAGATTTAATTTCAAAGTTCACTATAATTTCATTGAAATGTTCTAATGTCCTTAAAATCATTGAAATATTTAAAATATTAAAAAACAGATAAAATATCTAATTGTTTTGATATTCTGAAAATGAAACATTTTGAAAAACACTCTTTTATTAAATATTGATTAATCAATTTTAAAGTACTGATTTTTCTGAACCTAGTTTATTTCTCCAGCATATCATATTTCCAATGTGGTAAAATATTAAATTTTCACCAGCTTTTATATGTAGTCTAATTTATGAGATGTAGCATGTGAAAAGACAATGTTTTCATTGCTGATCTGAATAGTGGATGGACATAGAATGTTGGGAAATTGTTTGTTTAATACTCTTTTAAGTTTTGTTCTTTCATTTGCTGTTTAGGAGTCTATAATGCTGTGTTTTGTCGTTTTAGCTTTACAGGGAAGAGGAAACTGTTAAAATTTTGATTTAGCTGCTTGGAGTTTATTTAATGGGGACAGCATTTTGAGAATAGTTTTCTGGGTGCTTTCTGGGATTAAATATAATCCCTCTCATCTAAAATAGCTTTTTCATCATTTCAGCATAAGAGCTGATCTGGTTGCAGCAAATACATTTGTTTCAGTCTGTGAAATAATACAATGAGAGATGTTCTGTCTCTGCCAAAAATAATGTCACATTTATTTGTTATGAAAATTGTTTGGTTTAATTTTTATAAATGCAACCTCTCATTTTGGAGCCCAAAGTACCAAGGAAGGAAAACTTTGTGATTGGCACTCCCACTCCTGTCTTCTCTGTAGTCTTCTCCTTTAGGTTTAGTGTGAAATTAAAATGTGGATAAAACGTATTACTCAGCCTTCTCCTGAACTCACTGTCCAGGCTGTGCCACAAAAGTCTGGAGAGCCTGTGACAGGTGGTGCTGCTCATGCCACTGCTGCCACAGGTGGCCACCACAGCCCTTCCCAGTCCCGTTCTGTATGGGCAGACTGGCCAGGAACAGCCTCTGCCCAGGTCTCAGCGTCTGCCTTTCAAGTCACAGCTCACTCATTTTAGAACTCCTGGGCTGTCAGAGGATATTATTCAGTGCCCACTCCTTTGTCAAACAGCCTCTGCACTCCCCTTTGTGCTGACTCTTGCACCTACCATTCAGCATTGTAGACCAGCAGGAAAATATAGGGACATCACAAAAAGGAGCAAACAGTCTAATTTCCCCTGAAAGGGTGAACGAGGGAAAATTCATCTTCATTCATTTTCCAATCAACACAAAAGGGTTAGAAACCATTAGCATGACACTTTAGGAATGAGAGGCTTTCCTGTAGTTCCTGTTTTCTGCCTGGAGTGAGTACCTAACCCAGAGTAATTCTGAAGCAGCACAGAGTGATTGCATTAGTAGCTGATGAGCTGTTGCAGCTCAGGACTCTGCATCTCCTGCTGTACAACTCCTTCCACTGTCAGGCAAGCTGAAACCTCTGTCCCCCGGGTCTGCTGTGCCCCAGCTGTCGCTTGTTTGAAGAATCTCTCAGTTCCACGAGAGATTGGTTTAGGTTTCCTGGAGTCAGACTTTTAGCAAATTCAAAGTAGACTTTGAGTTGATTCTGCTGTGAAACATAATCCACAGACAGAGGCAAATGACGTTGTCAGAATGAGGATTGTGATCTACCCTGGGACTGTAAGAGCAGTAGGTTACAATTTGTCTGCTCAAACACAATTGCTTAATCTCATGCCTCTAAAAGACCAAAATGCTGTCCCCTTTACTTGACATTATATTTGACTAAAGTAAAAGCTCACTGAATGCTGAGAAAAGAAACATTACATTGCATTTTCTGGAGGTGAAACAATTGTGATAATATTAATTTTCTCAGTTGATATGAAGAACTGGGCACAGTATACTTCAGTGGTCCCATGCTTCCCCCAAGATAGTATGCAACAAGTGGCTGACTAGTGTTTGTGTATCAGGATTTGCTTACAGTATTAGGTTAGGAAACAGGTCACACATCTAACTTATGTTCAGCAAACAAGATAAAAATGTGCAAAAAGCATTTATGAAAGTAATTTCATGTTCTAGGAAAGTTTACATGCATTGAAGTCAAGTTTCATTTGGAGCGTCAGATGGGATACTATTTAATCCAGATGTACATTCCTAGCCTGCTGATTGTCATTTTATCCTGGGTTTCTTTCTGGATCAACATGGATGCTGCTCCAGCCAGAGTTGCACTGGGCATCACTACAGTTTTGACAATGACCACACAAAGCTCAGGATCGAGAGCTTCCCTCCCAAAAGTAAGGAAATAATTTTATACCATGAATTTGCTCTTAATAAGAAATGTTTGTGCTACCCTTTTAAATTTCAGGAAGATCTGTGTAAATATGCATCTGATAAGGATAGATGAGAAAGTGGTAACAGTGCGATGTTAAATTTGCAATACCCTTCCTTGCATTTGAATTAAGGAATGTTTTTCCTGTTTTGGTGGATGGCTGAATAGTTCAGCAGTATGAATTTTTAATGAGTTTCTACTGGTTTTGATACTTATTTTTGAGTGTTTAGAAACCAGATTTTATGAGGTATTTAGATATCTTACTGGATTTCTTTCAGACTGGGGACTTTAAAAACACTAGACTGTTAGACTGTCATATATCTTGATGTTTCTAGATATGGCACTTAGTCCAATGAATATATAAATATATACCCCAGAAATGTATATATAAAATACATGTATGTAACATATATGCAACTAAAAGATTTCTTTGGTGAAACTTTTTAGTGTGGAACTGCTGGTGTCTTTGTTTAACAGCAGAATTTTTCCATATTCCACTCATTCTGGTGTCATCTGAAGACCTTCATCCTATCTATGCACAAAAATATCCTCTCATTCAAATTTTGTGGTCTTTTTAATCCTGGCCAGATGCTGTAGATGAATTTACAGATTACAGACTGGATTCTCTGTGTAGTCAGGCTGACAGCTCTTTTCAGCACAGGCACAGCCCAAATGCTTCTGATAATAGCATTCCCAGCATAATTTAATGTGCAAGCTCAGGTTTTATACAATTTTCTGGAAGGGAGCTCAGAGGTGGGTAGGTTTGCAATAGTCTAAGGAATTATGAGATACACTCCCTGAAGAGTCCTTTTCCAGCAGTCCGGTATCAAAGGGACTGGGATCATAGTATCAATGAAAAGCACAAATTTTGAGTGTTTGTTGTTCATGATCCATTCCAAGAAAGCAGGCTCTATATTGCGGTGCTTCACCCTCAGTATCACATTTAGTCTCATTCCAAATATGCAAGTTGTTCAAGTGGAGGGAAACTTCAAAAATATAGGGAAACTCAAAACGTGCACGGATTGTCTTACTTCTTTGTTAGTAAAGAGAAAGTATCACTTAAAAATCTGGTGAGTACATTTAGTTCAGCTTCCCTTATTCACTTGGAGAGAAGCATCATTTTCCATGCAAACTGAAAGCCTCTCATATATTAACTCAGAGTTTCAAATTGAAAATTTATTAAGTGTTCCTTCAGACAATTCAGTCCATATTACCAGTGAACATTCTGAAAAGAATTTCTGAAAAAATAATCTTGACAAGAAGCATATAGGCTCTTTAAATAGCAAGTTCGGAGTTGCTGAAGACTGTGTCTAGATGGCACAACATGAATCCATGTGAAATATTCCAAGTTTATTATAAATTATCTGGCTTGAGAAGTATAGATAATAGAATCACTGTAGTGGAGATTCCCACCCACATTTCCTCCTGGGCAAACAAGCCCTGACAAAAGGCTCTGCAGTGTTGGTGTGCCCCAAATGCTTTAGAAGGTGTTTTCCTCATAGGCCTTTGATCCAGCTGAAATGTTTTCCCTTTTGCATCCTGTTGTGTTTGAGTAGAGAAGTATTTGCTCAGTGGAAGAATGAGAAGATGCAAAATATGTTGACCGTGATATGTTGATTATTGGAGAGGTTCTTCTCCAGCCTCAGGATTAAATACATTTATCTCATCAGCTGTCAGAGAATGGTGGTGCTCTGCCCATACTCCATCTTCTGCTGTGTTCCTTTGCCAGAAAACAGGCACTAAGAAAAGTATCTCACCAGAAAGCCCAGTACACATTTCAGTCAGGCTGTTGTATTTTTCCTGTGTAATTCAGCTGGGCTCTATTTTATAGCTTTGATCTCTATATGTTAGTTAATCCCTGTGGGGGCTTTTGAAGGTGTGTCACTTGACTTAAAAATGTGATTCTAAGTAAATGCCAGCATTCCAGCCAGCTGACTCCCACCTTGGATGATTCAGGTGCTTGGAGAAACATGGGCTCCATTCAGGTCCTGAATCACCACTACCTGATTCCTTATACATAGAAACAAGATTTTCTTGCTATTGCTGTTCCAGGCATTTAGCTGTTTTAAAACCCCATCTGTAACTTAATATGAAAATTGTATTTATTAATAAAATCTGTCCAGCGGAAATGCACCTAGAAATAAAAATATGAAAAGAATTGAATCAAAACAGTATCAGACCTGAAGCCTCAAAATCTCTGTTTAAAAATAATGGTTTTCTAAGCCCTGTCTACATATTGCCAAGACACAGAAAGTTAGGCTGCCAATGAAACATCCATTTAAATGTTGCTCCTAGCATGAATGTCTAACAGAATAAGATATTTCAGGAGGGTTTGGTTTTTTTTTGCAAGAATACTGAAAAACACAGATGCAACTTCGCTTTGTGAAAGCAGCCTAGGATTGAATACAATATAATTTCCCCATCCTTCTTTGTGTCCTGTACTTATTAATATAGATTTATGCAATTTAACTTTAATTTACCCAGTTTCAAGGCAAGAGTTTATTTCCATTCTTCTCTATTTTAATAGAGCTTTACCACAGAAAACGACAAAGTATCACAACTTGCCAACTTTAATGGGAATAATTTCTTTACCTAAGAAAGACAAAGAAAAGTTGTGATAAGATTCCTTAGGGTTTTTGTCTGTTTCCAAGTCACTATCTAAATGACTAAAGTGTTACTGTTTAGAAGCAATTACCTACATATTGTTCTCAACCCTGGTGTAAGATAACACAACAATGTTCTGTTGCTTAAAATCACTATTTTCCATATTAATGACTAACATTAATTTCCATACACTGATTTCATAATAGTAGGTCATGGCCACACAGACATTAGGCACTCAGCTGTTGAAAATTAACCATAAGATTGAGATTGCTGAAAAGAAAAGAAAGGAAAAGAAAGGAAATGAAATTAATTCAATCTGAATCTCATATTCGCTGCATATAAGAGAATTATCTAGAATGTACACTTCTAAATTAAATATATTTCTTTGGTAAATTCTGTAGTATTTCTGTGGGATTATTATATTTGGAGTATTTTGTAATGCTTTAATATGGGGTGAAATTCTAAGAAATATTTACCATGGAGCCATTCACTTTTAAAGTGATGAAATTATTTTGTGTATGTTACAGAGAACTTGTGAGGGGTCCTGTAATGTAGAATTGTCCTGTGTTAGGGGGTGGTAAAGAACTGATCCAGAAAGCTGGGATGGAATTCCCTACTTCAAGTTTGACTAATCCATCACTGGGATGCCCAGGAATGGTGATCCAAAATAGCAGGATTTCTATGATAATTTCCTCTTCCCACATGTTCATATGTATAAGTCTTACCCACATCTGATACTCTTATGTCTGAATTCCCTGGTCACGTCATCACTTTCCACTTAGAGACTCCATCTGGGTAATGTTTGTGCACCCAGCTGCACCGGTGGCTCTTGCTGATCAGCCAGCTGAGCAGAGGTCCTGAGCTCCAGCTGGGCCAACACTGCGACCACACAGCCACAGAGAAATCTCCAGGTAACCCTGAGCCTGCTGTGCGAGTCCTGGGCATGGGCCAGGGACATTCCCTGCGCCTGGGCTGTGCTGGGCTTTACCTCTGCAGAGGAGCTCCGGGGTGCACCAGTTGTGAACCTGGCTGACTGTACAGCCAGGCAGGGCCCTGCTTGTCCTCTGGAAGCACCAGTCCCACGGACCCAGAGGGCACCACGTATCCATCAAAACAGGGACTGAGCGTTGTCTGGGCACCACCAGGGACACCAGGACATCTGACTTGACTTACAGTCTCAGGTGTGTGTGAGCTGGGGGAGTAAAGCGGGGGGAATTCAAGGGCCAGTAGTGCAGAATTGTTAAGAAGTGTTACAAAACAGTTATTTTCTTCAGAGCTTTGAAGCACCATTTGCTTGCTGTTCTTTTTACTTGTAAATGGCTCTCCTGTTGAATCAACAGAATAAAAAGTTTGAAAGGATTTTCAAAAGAAGCATTTGAAAGAATAATGAGTTCTCTGCTGTGCTAGTTGTGTATTTTTCAGACTGCTTTCTTCTTAAAACACTTACATAAACCAAACCTTAGCAACAACAGTCCAAGAAAATGAGTTACTTTTAATGCCATAAAGCAAAACATTTCAGGATATTTTAAGTCAAGTGATGGCAACTGTATTTTACACAGTTGCATAGTATTCATATTGTGTTGCTTTAATGCACAGTGCTTAATGAATGCACTTTCTGTCCCTGGGGAACAATCTGTGCAGAAAAAAGTCTCATTCAAAGCTCACCAAAACTTCTGGGAGTCCTTTCATTCACTTCATTTTGCTTTAAATCACTCCATATATTACCAAATGGAATAAAAGCATAGGTACAGAGACTTGAAAAACCAAAGCCAAAGAAGTCTATCCCCTTTGGCAGTAAATGACTGTTTTTATGTGTCATCCGCTATCCCCCGCATATTTGGAGACTTTTACAGATTCTTTGACTTCTGGCAGGCCAGTTTTCTTTTTTTGAATGTCAGAAGCTATCAAGTAAAGAAGATACAAGAATATGGCACTTCTGATTGATTTTTTTTTTTTAATTAAGGTTAAAATGATACCATAATAAGAGGGGAAAAAAAATAAATGAGGAGAAATACCAATCAGGACAAAGGAATAGATGCTATTATCAGTGATGATTTTGTTCTGTTTTGTGTACATTTGCTTTCATAGGAAGTAGGGCACCAAAGGTGATTGCTTACTGTTTCATTAGCAAAGCACAGAGATGATACATTCTGGTGCAGCATGATGGTAAAAAAGCAATAATGAAGTAATTTGGAATGGAAGCAAATTTTTGACGAATTACTTTTAGTCTAGTCTCCGGATCTGAAGAGGAAATGTGGAAGTAATTTGGCAATCATGAGATTTGTTAATTGGCACTTGGATTATGTGGGTGTCTGAGCATTTTATACACTGCTTAAGTGATTAAGACAACCCAATTGTTAT